GATACAAATGTTCCGACAGGGAACATTTGTTGTGAACGAGCCATTTTTGTTTTTGTTTGTTTGCTATGACATGTGTGAAATATATTTAGTATACATCAAGTCATTGAACAGACAACATCATATTTTTTCATCGTGTTAAAAATGTCGAATTTTGTACGAGAAAGTGATGATTTGCGGAAAGCATTAATTTTTTGTTTTCATTTGAAGAAAAGTGGTGCAGGGTGCATCGAATGCTTGTCGAGGCATATGGTGATCATGCTCTATCAGAAGCAACATGCAAAAGATGGTTTCAACAGTTCAGAAATAATGATTTTGATGTGAGAAATGAAGAACGTAGAAGACCGCCAAAAAGGTTTGAAGACGCCGAATTGTGAACGATATTGGATGGAGATGACACTTTGGATCAAAAGCAAATGGCAGAAATGTTAAATGTTGCACAACAAACAATTTCTGACCGTTTAAAAGCCATGGGAAAGATCCAAAAGTGTGGAAAATGAGTGCCACATGAATTGAATGAATGACAGATGGAAAACCGAAAAAACACTTGTGAAATTTTGCTTCAAAGACACGAAAGAAAATCGGTTTTGCATCGAATTGCTACTGGCGATGAAAAATGGATTTATTTTAAGAATCCTAAACGGAAAAAATCATGGATTAATCCGGGACAACCATCAACATCGACTGCAAAACCAGATCGATTCGGCAAGAAAACAATGCTGTGTGTTTGGTGGGACCAGAAAGGTGTGGTGTACCACGAGCTCCGAAAACCTCGTGAAACCGTCAATGCTGGTCGCTATGAACAACAAATGATAAATTTGAACCATACATTGATCGAGAAACGACCAGAATGGGCCAGAAGACACAGCAAGGTAATTCTGCTCCATGACAATGCACCTGCACACAAAGCAAAACGGGTTCAGGATGCAATCAAAACACTTGGCTGAGAGCTGCTACCCCACCCGCCGTATTCACCAGACTTGGCTCCTTCCGACTACCATTTGTTTTCATCGATGGGACACGAATTGGCTCAGCAGCACTTTAATTCCTACGAGAAGGTCGAAAATTGGGTGGCTGCTTGGTTTGCTTTAAAAGACGAACAATTTTTTTGGCATGGTATCCACAAATTGCCAGAAAGGTGGTCAAAATGTGTAGAAAGCAATGGCCAATACTTTGAATAAAATGTTTTTTTTACTTTCCTATTAATTATTAGTGTTTTATTTTCACCAAAAAACGCTCATTTCATACCGGTACACCTGGTAGGTACATACCCTAAACGCCTGTTTCAAACCACCATTATCTGCTATATTTTCCCCTTGGGTCATGCGCCCATTCATATACATGCCGACCTCATCAATTTTATACTTCGAATACTGGTCTATAATGCATTGCGTACGCTCACGAAATGCTTCAATTGTAGCATTATTCCACCATTGCATCATATTACCATCTTTATCAAACTGGCGACCTTAAAAATAGATATATACTTATCAATAATATAAAACTTCACAAAATACCATATTTATAAATTTACCTTTGTCATCGAATCCATGTGTGATCTCGTGTCCTATAACTACACCTATTCCACCATAATTTAGTGATTTAGGGAAATTTTGGCTATAGAACAAAGGTTGTAATATACCAGCAGGAAAAACTTTAAAAAAATATATTAAAATTATAATAAATTTTCAAGTGATTCAAATTGATTGCGATTCTCATTTAGTTAAACTTACCAATATCGTTTTTATTGGGATTGTAGAAAGCATTCACAACAGCTGGCTCTGTAGTCCACTTCTCCTTATCAACTGGCATACGCAGAAGTTGTAAATTTTTTTCAGAATCCCATTTTAAAATATTTAAAACGTTTTCCATAAAATTGTCGGGAATAATGGTGAGCTACGAAATTTATTAAATTTTATCCTTAAAATTCTGTCACTCTAATTTCTTCAACTTCTACTCACATTGATATATTCTTTCTCCAATTCGGTGGCATTAGTCAATATTTCTGGATATCCAATGCGTTCATTCATTGTGTCGGCTTTCTCTTTAGCTACGGCTCTAGTTTCATCATCCATCCAATGATTTTCTGCTAATAATTCATTAAAAGCCTCCCGAATAGTGTGTATCATCTCTAAGGCTGTATCCTTACTATCTTGATTAAAATTATCACGTATGAAAAGCGCACCAACAGCCATGCCCAGTTTCTTATTCGTCCACTCTACACACTGTGACCAACGCATACGTTCCGACTGTATTCCGAGTAGAATTTTTCTAAACTCTACACGTTCGCGTTGGTATTCATCAATCATATGCGTCGTTATGGACATAATTAAACGCCACAGAACATAATTGTGCACAACACGACGGTCGGCACTTTTCAAGATCTTACCCATATCTATAAGATATGGCATAGCATAACTCACAAGCTCTTCATTTGGCTGTAGTTGTATTTCTTGACCTAACGCTGTTTGCAAGTATTCAGTCCAATCTATTTCTGGTACTTGCTCTTGTAACTCCGATAAAGTAATTTTTTTATAAATGGCGCTAGTATCATGGCGATCTGCTTCTGGCAGTGATGCATTAACCAAATTAATTTCAAACTGCACTACTTCATTTAATTCTTGTGTTGCAGTTTCAGGATCAGCACCCAAAAGGATTGCTGTCTGTGTCATATATTTGTGATATGCTTTTAAATCATTTTCACTGCTTGACTTGAGATAATAATCTCTAGAAGGTAAGGCGAGAGGCAATTGATCAATTTGAAGTATATTCACAGATGAATTCTTATCGTCTGCACCGACATATAGTTCTATCAGTACGCCTTCACTGTAGTTGCCACGCAAGTAACCCATTAGTTGTTCTATTGTCATATTTGGTGGTTGCCAATTTTTTTCGATAACCGGCCAACCACCTAGTGATTTTAAAACATCTTTTAAGCGACCTTCACCAATTTTACGTATTTGGGCTAGAATTTAAGGTTTATTTAAATACAACTCGAAATTCAAAATTTGTAAAACCACAATATATTTATTCATATATGTAAATTCTGTATAAAAAGTATCCGGAACAAAAAAATAATAAATCAAATAAAATCGCCTTGAAAGTATGCGCTATTGAATATAAAATATCTATAGAAGTGTTTTATTCCATTCTCCGTTAATTTTTCTTAGCCGGATAGAGATAAGTCTTTCAACTAATTCATCCATTTTGTTTTTATGACTGCAATCTAGTCCAATCACTTTCCTCAAAACGGTAATTTTAACTTCAAAAAAAGAAAAAAATCATGTTGCACGGGATTATGTCAGGTAAGAATGACATGTAATCCATTGCATTCGTTAATTTTTTTTTTTGGCAAAAACACGCACTACGATGGTTTTGTGCCATCGCAGAACACCCGAAAGTAAAATTACAAATCAACTGATCTAAACACACTCTGTGAAATGTTTAATTTTAACACAAAATGGTTTCACCAACTTATATAGTAGAAAAATAATTGTGTCATGTTTTTTAAATTATAAATTTCAGATACTTTTTACCCATAACCAAAAATATATAACATACTTAATAAATTAAAACATAAATCAGAGGTTAACTACTTCATAATGGTACTTACGAATATCCATACAGCTTTTATAAAACATTTTAGCTTTAATCGTTGCCTTATTATCTTCTTCGTTTATACTTTCTTCTAAGACGCCTTTCAGAATTACTTGTTGCTGATCGGCTAGCACCTAGACATAAAACAAAATGATTAGTTTGAAGTATTATTAAAAGACTTGCGGTACAACCTCAAAAGTACTTATAGAACTTCGATCTTCTGGTATTATATGTTTCTTATTCCAAGTACCACAAGCGTATTGAAAAAAGTTTTGACATGGATCAGCTGCAGTATCCATTGCAGACAGTAATGATGCGGCTGTAAAAATAGGAATTTGAAATGGTAAATATTTTCGATCATTCGTTATGAGGCAACTTATAAATGAAAATATATTTTAGGTAAAGAATAATTGTTGGAGGTTTGCATTAATACAGTACACATAAAAAAGGTTCTATATAGAAATTAAAATAACATCGGATTAAAAATTCTCAACCAAATATAGATAAAATACTACGCTATGTAAACCCAAAGGAGACATCTCTAAAGAAATTCTCGATTGCAGTACATAAGATAGTAGAAACATCTCTAATAGTATCCATACAACACATGAAAGAAATAGACTATATAGGGTTTTAACGCGATTACCTGACATGACGACTGAAGACTGAGCATCACAGTGCTTTTAAGATACGTATCAGTATATGCGTTAATAAACGCCCCCAAGGTATAGCAAGGAATTCTGCTGGCACCAGTTGAAGCTATACGCTTGAATGCGGTTTTCTTTTTGTGAGGCAGCGAGTCCTATCTAACACTTTTGCAATTTTTTAATTTGCAGTACGCAGTAGGAAAATGCAATCGAATAAAAGTATATTAATACAGCCATTCTACTCACTTAATTCTAGATTTTAACCAAAGCCATCACCTATTAAATACGATAGTTGAAGCTGTAGGTTCTGTCCTCATGATACAAGATTTACTCCCCCGAGTAAATCTTACTGAATTTTAGTCGCATCTTACGACAGGCATGCTTCACCTCAGAAATATTCTAACCCCTTTCCTGCAGGTGTATATGAAAGAAACAAATTGAACTGGGATTTTATTGGATTAACAAGAATAAAGTTAATCTTTTGGCATAAGATAGAGTTCATATAAATTAATTGTTAAATCCATATATTCCTTGTATTTAAAGAATTAAAAAAATTTTAATTAAATTCAAGTAAAATAAAATTCTTTAAATTAGAATTAAATAAATTATATGTAATAATAGTAAGTAACACTAACATTTCGAGAGTAGCTAGTTATATACGCCACTGTAGAGATATCAGTCTTGTAATAGGTTTACTTACAGATGATTGTATTTTAGGTAACCATGCTAGGAGACTAAATCTCCCTTTCAACCATACCTGCCGCAATTGTATAGAAAACAATGAAAGTGGTTCCCATCTGTTTTGTTTTTGTCCAGCACAATCGCAGAGCCACCTCACAACTTTAGGGGCTCTCTTTTTTGAAGATCTTGACGAACTGCAAGATCTCACTTTAAATATCATTCTAAGCTTTGCCAAAGATTCTAAATGGTTCTAACCCTTGAGTTTGTAATTATACGGCAACACAATAGGACCATAAGCATAAGTGGATCTTTTAGGATCACTAGTATAACCAAACCTTTGTTTTTGTATATTCCATTGATTAATATGACATTTTCTGATCTAGGTATAATTAAATGCTTTGTGTCTATCATTGAATTTGGTAAATGTAGTAATGTTTTTTAATACCTACAATTACATTTCTCAACTTTCTTTTCTATGACAATTAAAAAGTCACAATAAAAAACTTGTATCTATTGGCAGTAATATGATTTCTATTAGTGTGAATGTCAAGCTATAATGTCACATGAAAAAATTATTGGACTTAGTCTACTTATGTAGTAGGACATATATAACTGTTATTTGTTTTTTTTTGCAATATTGATGGTCATTTATTATGGGTTGTTAAACTTTAAACAAAACAAGTTAACTAAATACAATTAGAAACTTTTTAATATATATTACATAAATTAACTGCATGAATTTGTTTCATCAGTTGAACTTTTATTCTATTCCCTGATGTTGAATAGTATTTCTGTAATGTAGATGTTTTTCCTTCTAGCACCCCTTTTAGACAATAATTAATTTAATATTTTAATTAAAGTAGCTACTAACTTTGTACTGCCGTGCTCTGTGCAACTAACATAGAGGTGAAATTAGCTAGTTATCAGAAGTGAAGCGGACTACTTCCAATGACAGCACTATCGGGAGGGTATTGCATATTGTAAAAGTTTTACTTTTACTGACTATTTTTATTGCTATTCCTGCTACTGATGTGGCAATCGAGACTCCAAGTTGAGGAAAAAGTTTGCCTGCTTACGCGGAGGTGCAATCCGCCATTTGATTTTCCGCGCTGCGGTTTTTTCAACTTTCATTCAAGCGTTGCAAGTAGAACTTGCAACTTTGAATACAACTAACAAAGAAAACTTAAGGATTTACTACAATATTAAATTCCTTTTAAAATTTATGGTCAAAGTTAGTGTCAAAACCAAACCAACTTTGTTACGACTTGGCGTTTAAGTCTGGCATAGATTTAAAGTGTGCAACTATACTCCGAGAAAATAGTAAGAAAAAAAAAGAGA